AATGGCAAAAGTGTCAGATTGGCTCCACGCACATGTGTGGTGGGGGTAGAGACAGAGTCTCTGAATATGGCAACATATAACAGGCAAGATTTAAGCTCTAGCCAGTTTCTAAAGTTTATCAATATATCCCTATTGACAGTTACATTGGTCTTCTGTAACAGCTACATGTTGCTTTTATTGCTTCATAATTTGTACTTCCAGGTCAAGGATTCCCAAAGTCTTCAGCCCAGACTTTATCTAGAAACAATGGTCAGTTTTGACTGCATGCAACTGCCAACTTGCACCAATACAGCCTGATTTGGTGGCATAGCAGTGTTGTGTTCTTATAGTTTTAGTACCTCCCCAGTTTGCTTTTCAGAAGTCTGTACATGTCTAATGACCCATTTTTGTTAATTACATCATGCCATGCTTTATGATTTATGTATGTACAATTTTGTAAGAAGAAAATTTAAAAAGATATAAAAAAGAAAGAAAAGGTACATGTAAAGTGACACGTAACTCCCTTTCCGTAAAAAAAAACAAAAAACTGCAAGTAATTTAAGCTGAGTTGGAGTGCCACTGGAATCAACCCTGAGAGCCAGACTAGTTTGTTTGGCACCAGCAAGGGATTTCCTCACAATGTAAACAACAGTTTAAGAGTAGTGATTTTCCTCAGGAATGCAGCAGGGGATGAAAGGGTTGAATTCTCCCTCCACATCTGCTACAATCCTGATAATTATCACACTATCACACAAACCCCATACATTAAAATAAAGCTGCATGCTAATGCAAATCCACATTTAAGTCCTGTCTACTTTGGCCCTGAAACAAGTCCACTACAGGGTTTACATTGTTATAGGTTCTGGGTGCCAGAGTTTGTGGGTGCAAGTCACTCATAATTATTGGGTTCAGTAAAAGTTAGATTTAATCAAGGTTTCACTAAACTGTGCCAAACATGGAAATCCCTGGGCTCACTGAGAATGGGTCTTTAGGAGGACAAATGAAGATGATAGCCAGTCATTAACCCATCGGTGAAAGCCATCAAGCAAGGCAGTCTGTTCTCTGCTGCAGAGACATGATGTTTGTGGTCTCTTGGAATCTGAGGCTGCAGCAATAGGAGGAACAGAACCATATTGGATGTGAATACTCTGCACTCTCTCCATCAGGTTGTATAATATAATAAATATATAGTGTAAAGACACCACTGTGCCACATTCCCAAAGGAAACACAGACCCTCAGTAAGCACCTGGACCCCTGGAATCTCGTACTGCTGTAGAGCTAGGGGTAGTGTATAATAATATTTATTCAGTTTATGAACTGCTTCACACATAAGGAGCTCTGAAGCAACGCATTTTTAAAAGAAACAAACTACCAATGTTGTATCTACTATATATTTTGAAAAGTTGACTGCTTTCCAAGCATTGGGACATCTTTAAGATAGTACAACTAAATTTTGCGTGACGGTTCCTGAGATCCAGCAGCAGATTTCTGTCTATCTCTGGAAAGAACTGGATGCAGCTGTGACTCAATATAGTGGACTGAAACTTTCGGAACTGCACTGATTTTAACAGTTTATTTCAAAATTACACTGATTTTTTGGGTTTCTTCAAATTCTCAAGCAATACAGGGTACAAGGCTGCTTGGGGTTTTTTTTTTGGGGGGGGGGGACTTACTGCACATAAAGGCTGGCACCACCTGCCCAGAATATACATCCTGCCCAAGCTTAAATAAGTGACTGACTGACTGCAGTGGTTGCAGTGGTCATTTTGCATTTTGGCATACAAGTGGTAGATAAGCAAACAAATAAAGAATACATGATGGTGATTATGAGCAATACAAGGGCAGGGGGTCTAGGTTGGTGCCAGGTGGGATTCCATCCATGGCATCATGCCATAGGCCCAGTGGAGACCCTGAGGAGGGGCGGGGCAGAAAAGGGTGTTTCTGGACAAGATTTTTTAAACAAACAAACAAACAAACAAACCGTTAAAGAAAATTCTGGGTTGAGAGACTCCTCAACAGCCCAGCTCGTCGGGGTACAAGTCCCCCGTGGGTTCATGCGGTCAGTAAAAGAAGGAAATTCCAGCCAAGTAATCTGGGGCAAAACAGCAGTCAGTAGACTTAGATCCTTTATTGTTGCACAACAGGTTCAAACAGCAGTAAGAGCCCCGAGCATGGGGAGACATTCACTTTTAAAACTTTCCCACCATATCCCAGAATACAGTTCATACAGCATCATTGATACATCAGTGACATGTCACTAAAGGGGAGGGGTAGACAGGGGTTACACTAGTTCAACCTTGGCAAACATGTCCACAAAAAGTCCTTGTTACAAGATTAGCATAAGCAGACATGTCAGGGCAAGACCCAGGTATAAGATTAGCATAGGAAAACACCTCTGAAGTCCCACCACCCAAAGTACAATAGACCTTCCTTTGCATGTCTGGACCCCTAGGCAAGTCTGGTGATGGGATTTGGCATTCCTTGGCCAACAATCAGCTCAGCAATTGTCACCTCTGGGCACTTCCTGGAGTCCTTTTCTCAAGGGCAAAATAGTATTGGAATAGAGGAAACTGGCAAAGGAGTTGATTTTATATTATTTTTAAAGATAGGTATCTTCCCTGAGCTGTCAAGTTGAAAGGATACATTCAGGCATAATATTTGTAACATTTAACAACTTTAAAGATGTGCGCCCCCTGTAATTTCCGTAAGAAAACAAACAAAAACTGTATTACATTTACCATAACCTTAAATAGAATGGGGAGGGTGGTGCTAAGGGGAGGTCAGACCAGACTTAGTACAACAAAAAGTAGATTGAGGTGAAATCTAAATAGACAGAGTTGTTCATAATTCAGTTCTGTCCCTAGCAGTTTTCAGATTATATGGGTCCCCTATGCAATAAAGAGCAGAAGGGAAAACATGGCAGCAAGGCTGGAAATATATCAGCAAGGCTAGAAATTAATTTTAGGTAATGCACCAGGTTTAAAGTAACAGGAACCAATGTTTTCTTGCAAACAACCTTAGGGCATTTAGCAGACTTCCTTCACTATCACATGTTGCCTGTCATACCAAATAGAAGCACTGGCTTCTCCCTATAGAGGGAGGAGAGTAATGTCCCTTTCCTGCTTCATTAAACATAACTAGTCACATCCAAGAACCAAACTGCATCGGTTTGACTGTCTGATGTGGAAAAAACCGACGTGCCTGCCAAATCTGCTATAACTAATTATGAGGATATTTTGTCTGCTTCTCATACATATGCATCTAGAGGGCAGGTGGGGGAACAAAATTAATTCAGCCCCCCGCCTGCCCTAAATATGGAACATGTTGGTCATCAAGTTTAATGTGCAGCACAATACAGAGGGCAGAATCTGTGGGGCACAACCTGAGTCAAGCTTCTATTGTAGATCTTTTGAAATCATATGGGCTACATGTGCGCACCACCAGGTAGATTGAATGCTTTGTGTGTTTTATACACTGTCACAAGGATTGACAGACAGCCTATCAGCTGGCCATAAATACATCCTTCTGCAACACAAAGCTTTACAAAGTGCTGAATAAAAACATTCCTGAAAGTTTCGATCAAGGGTATTTGGGACCAGTGGGGTTGTTGCTGTGCGAACTTATATAATTATAACTAGCATTCTTACTGCCTTGTGTCTGTTTTCAGCACAACATTACTTCCAATAGTCTTACCCTAGAAAAAGGACTGGGGAACCTGTAGCCCTCCAGATGCTGTTGGACTCCCTTCATCCCAGTCAACATGACCAATAATAAGGGATCATAGGAGTTATAGTCCACAAACATATGGCAAGCCGTAAGTTCCCTACCCTGGCCCTAGAATAATGATTTTTGTTGCTGTTGTTTAGACCACTAAATTCTGCATTTCTAGTGCAAATTCTCTCACTTAACTTCATAGTTTAAGGATGCTTTGTGCTGCTTGTGGGTAGGAAGAGTATAGTAAAAAAACACCAAACAAACAGATACTTCCCATTCCAAACCAGACTTCCAAGCCCTGTGTTTATTCACATATAAAGCAAACTGGTGAGGTTTCTTTTCTCCACATGTGTACACTTAAGATTGCAGTCAAAGGGCAAAACTAGACATAGTGGATTGGATTCTACCATGATAACTTTACAGTATTTCACAGTTTATTATACCTTCTTCCAATTCTGCAGCCACCCAAAAATGTCTCTATGGAGAGTCTGTTGAAACATGAGAGATGGGGCAAGGGGATAAAAAAAATTCCTTCCTCCCTTCCAGGGGTAGGGGGATAAAACTTTCAACGAACCTCCTCAAGTTAACATCTTAGGATTTAAAACATCATAGGCAATGAAATGCATGATCAGTGTATTCTCTTGGGACAACCAATGAGGTTGATTACTACATGTAACCAGGGTGGAGAAACTTGCAAAGGGCCATTGTTTTAAGGCCAACCCCATGTGTTGTATAAGGTATAATTTTGTCCTAATAATACATGTCCATACAAGAACATCAGGAGAAAGCAAGAACAACGAAAAGCCCCACTGTTGATTCACAACAAAGTCCCGTCTAGACCTGCATCCTCCGCTTACAGCAGCCAGCCAGATGCAAGTTGAAGGCACTCTATTTCCATGCTTGTTTGCTTTTCCCCCCTGAAGTGATCTTAAGTTTAGAAAGAAAGAAAAGCATACTAGGACCCTTGTACCTACGGGACCACTGTCGGAAATCAAGCCTTTATCGGGAGAAACTGGCAATTCTCCCAGGCACCCGGCTTGGTCTCCTGTTGACCTCCCTGGCTGCATTCCCCAGCAAGATCCAGGCTAGGTCTCGATAGGCGATTCTTCCCAAACGTGGGAAGAACACACCCCCTCCCTCCTGCTCCCCCGGCAGGGAAGGAGATAGACAGAAAGGAGATAGACAGAAATGTATTTACATGCCTTTATTTCTTTCTTTGCAGCATTACAGAAAACATGTCTGTACTCTTCAAACTCCAGCAGTCAAGTGACAAAGACTTCCTGTACTTCCTGTACATACACAAGAGGTGTAGTAAAGCTAGTATCATTTAGAAGCTGTTCCTTGGTCAAGCAATGAGAGTGAGGCCTTGTGGGTAACCAACAAGCCACAAGGACCATGGGAAATAAGTTCTGTCCCTTTAACCCCAGACTAACAGGCACCCAGGGTGTGAAAGTTTTATTATGGGAGAGGAAACCCCTGATTTAATGGAAGGCTTGACACCTGGGTCCAAGTTCTGCGCATTCCGTTAGTGATGTTATCTGGCCTTAATGGCCTGGGAATGTGCATCTGCAGAGGCGCCAAGGAAGGGAGGACAACCTTTGATTGAGGCTCTGGGTTCTTAATTGGCCCAGCTGCCAGAAGTTAGATTGATTAGTCCACAAGCCGGTCATTGGAGAATTTAAAAATAATCAAGAGTTATGATTGGTTTTGGGGGTTCCGACGCCACGTGTGAATCAGGGTTAAAAGATCTGGGAAATGGCTGAGAAAGTGCGCTCTGCAATCCGCAAATCGCCCGGCTGCTGATGTTCCATCTAAGTAGCTGTCTTTACCTCCTTTGTGATGGAGAACTGCGAAAGCCTTTGAACTGCGGAACCTTGAAAGGACTCTATCTATTCCTTTTGTGCTTTAGTTGTGAGTATGCAAGCTAGCTAGATTTCACAATGTTTTTATTTTTCTTGTCTGTAACTTACTAAAGATGTGCCTGCTATTTTAGCATGTTGTCTTATGTTCTTTTAAAATAAATTTTAAATAAGAAACTGTTTTGGTTTGTGTGCCTTTCCGGGGGAAAAGCTAAGTCCTAGCCTTACGCTTAGTTACGCTCTACCGTAGAATTTCTGTCTGCAAGTTTGTGGATTCAACTTGTGGAGTGGGGATAACCAGTAACAACAGGGCACAACCTTCTCCCTGGGTTGTGACTCTAGGTTCCCCGGAACAGAGGGAGTGGTGGCAGCTCTACCGGTGTGATTTTGTCCTGTTTCTGTATAACGTAACTTTGCCTGCCAGCCCCGTTCAAGAAACCTGATCTGGCCGGAGAGCAAAGACAGGTGAGGGAGGAGCGAGCAGCTGGGGGCAACTTTACTACAAGAGGAAGAGCTCAAATTACACTCTGAGCAAATTCCGGTGCATCGCCCTGTGAACTGACTGTCCCACTGTTTCCCACGGACAGTCCCAACATTCCCATCATGTTTTGTTTTCAAGCTACCAGTTTGCAGCTGCATTGCTTCTATATCGTAACAACCACCTCTCCTGGTATGCCCCACAGAGGACCTTAAGGTCCATATATAGCAACACCCTAGAGGTCCCGGGCCCTAAGGAAGTTAGATTAGCCTCAACCAGAGCCAGGGGCTTCTCAACATTGGCTGTGGCCTAGTGGAATGCTCTGTCTCATGAGACCAGGGCCCTGCGGGATCTGGTTTCTTTCCGCAGGGCCTGTAAGACAGAGTTGTTCCACCTGGCCTTTGGCTTAGAATCAGTTTGATTCCCTTCCCCTCTTTCTTTTTCTTTTCTCCTCCTGTGAAGAGGCTGCATCCTAATGTTTTAATGTTGTATCTTAAACTTTTAAATTGTCTTTTAATCAACTTGTTTTATTATTGGCTGTTAGCCGCCCTGAGCCTGGTCTTGGCTGGGGAGGGCGGTGTATAAATAAAAATATATTATTGTTATTATTATTATTATTATTATTATTAGTGGTGACAGCGGCTTTTTCTGCCTAATTGCATTAAAAGCTGGGAAGAATAAAACAAAACGTGGGTGGGGTGTCAAATTTGTATATGGGCAGACTAAGGAAATAAAGGTTAGCACACAACCATCAGAACTATTAGGGCTAATTCCCAAGGAAGTGTGGCTAGGCTGTGAGTATAAGAACAATCTTCCTTACAGATTTCTCTTATCTGAAGTTTCGGCTGCCGCTTCTGAGCCTGACATTGTTTCTTTGTGACAACCACAGTAATGAGATAAAGAATCCTGCTCAGCTGTAAATATTTTTTCACACATCTAAGGCCATTTGGCTTGGTTATGATTTTTGTTGTTGTTGCTTGCTTTGAAATAGCTACCAGTTACCAAGGATTCTCAGTTCATCCATAAAAAGAGGCATACTTGCACACAAGGGCGCCCTGCTACAAGACCCCATCTGTGGCAGAGGCTGGAAGGGTGGTGATGTAAGGCAAACTGGTCTTTCTCCTCCTTTCCCACTGCTGCCTCACCTCGACAGACCTGGACTGCTCCCAACCCAAGACTGTCTCTACCTAATTTGGTCAAAGCTCAAATCCCCTGAATTGGCCCAATTCAGTTTAGGATTCGGGCTTTGGCCAAATCCAGTGCACAGCCCTAGTAAATTTATGCAGTATGTGCAAGAAGGAGGGTGGCATGCAACTAAATAAATAAATAACAGCAAAAACAGAGAAGAAGGCTAAAACAGCCATTCATTAAGCACCTATAAAACCTGAGTAAACACCTATGTATGTCTTCACTTGGCACCAAAATGACAAAAAAAGATGGCGCCTGACAAACCTGTGAGAAGAGAGCATTCCACTAATGGAGACTGGGTAGGGCTTCTAAACACATTTTATGTGAATGTGCTCAGAGGCCTCCCTGTGATCAGGAAGCATGTGCCTCCAATAGGAATGTTGGAGACAAAGATGGCACTTGCACTCAACACCCACTTCATACTTGCGCCATCACACATCCTTTATTTGAATGCCTGAACAAACATAGGAACCTAGGAAACTTGTCTCATACAGAGCTGAAGCATGGGTGTTTCTAGCTCGCTATTTTGCACAGTGAATGCCAGTGACTCTCTGGAATTTTAGGCATGGAACATTCTCAAGACTTGCCAGGGATTGAACCCGAGACCTTCTGCATGTAAAGGTCTTAGGTTGCAGTTTTAAACCCATGAAGACTTTCCAAGTAATTAAGCGTAGGATTGTGCTGCTAAAGGCATCCTCTTTTGTCCTACAGGCATAAGAGCCAACTCCTAGGGACCTTGGCCCCACCAATAAAATATTTGAGGGGGGCAGGCCTTCCAGAGTTGATGGGCATTGTCATTCAAATAGTGTGTGTGTGTGCACTTCTTGTGATCAGTTATGTAGGATGGGGCTTACCTGCCCCACCCCGAATATTTTATTCCAGTTGGCACACTTGCCTACAGGCATGGTATATTAACTACAAAATTCCTATAATCTGATGTGTATGTGCATGTGGACATGGAGGCATGCATGCATGCAAGTGTATGTGATAGAGATGTGCCCACAAGTAGTAAACCAAATAGCCAGGAGTGCTGTACAAAAATGCTGATTTATTTTTTTTTCATTTAAAAGAACATTGCATCAACACAATAGGAATTGTTTGTATGAACAAGCGGCCAGTGCATTTAAAGGGATAGCTTACTTTTGTAGTAAGATCCGTGTAAAAATGATCAGGTATATGCATCTTTAATAGCTCAGTTTGTGGAAGAATTTCAAGTTGATCTGGTCAGAATTAATGCCTGCCCCCCCCCCCCCCGCTGCCCCACTCCACTCAATCCACATCTTTACAGCAAATTGATATAGTATCAGGGGGGCTTCAGTGAATTGCTGAAGATATCCAAACCTGAACCTTAAAAGAATGACATGATCTGAAAACTGGAGAAATGCCTTCAAAGTGAGCCAGCGCTGTGGTTTCAAAGGAATGACTTAATGATTGCAAGGCTGGTACTGGCAGCCCTCATTTGGAATCCCTGCGCTTTCATCAGTTTTAAATTAGACCATTAACATAACAGTAAATAGCTATTTGTATAGAATGTATTTACTTTTCAATGGCAAGCATTGCAAGGAGGGGTCAGAGTGGGACTGAGCAGCTGGGAGAAGCAGCTGGGACTGCGATGAAGGGAGATGTGGCAGGCACATTACCAAAAAACAAAACAAAAAACAACATTTTTATTTATTTTTATATTTTTTTAAATATCAAAATGTCTCTGATTTTCTATAATTTCCAGTAGCATTACGGTGGCGATGCAGGCATTCTCCAGACAAGCTAAGAAGTCAACATGCTCTCACTTCGCATCACAATGCCAATGAGAGGCTCGAGTGCCCGACTCAAGTGTCAAGTAATTGGGGTTTCGCTTTTCATTTTATGTTTCATTTTCAAGCACATTAGTCGCCAAATTAAAGGGCTTGGCAGGTGATTAAATGAGAAGTCTGAGGTCATACTTAACAAAGCAAATCTCTGCCTTGGGCAGCATTTCAGCAGGAGAGAGAGTGTGCATGGGATCAAATAGCAGCTGATGATCAGCCATCATATTTGGCAGGACTATTACGGTAGAACTGATCTGGAGCAACACCACAGCATTCAAAACAGCTGCACACAATGTTGTACTATATGCACTGGTACAATGCAGCAAGGAGGCAGCTACATTCAGGGCTGCACAAATGTTCTACATGCATTAGTGTCTCATGGAGCATTTGTTTACAGCAACAGGGAATCAGTATTGCATCTCCCTCCCCCCCCCAAATAAATAAATAATAATGATGATGATTTGACTCTTCTTCTTAATTAGTTGGCAGTTCTGTGAAAACAGTCTCCCCTCAAGGCCTTCAGATGATCAGCCAAGGGGGATTTGGGGTCAAGGAAAATTTCTCTGTATATTGTGCTCATATAAGAGCCGTTTCCTGTAGCTCTGACGCTGTTGCAGGGTAAACATGCCAACTGCTGATGGGTGAATGAATAGACCCAGTCATGCTTAACATGCATCCTATTGTCTTGGATTGCAATGGGCAGACACGCTGTCAACAAATTTAATGTTCCTTCCTCCATCTCTTTTTTAAAAAATTCAGGTCCATTGGCAAAGTCTTCCTATCAAACCGAATTCAGTAACTAAGCTGGAAGTCCTGCTGCCCTTTGCAGGAATTCTGTTTTAGAAAGGAACAGAAGAAACCATTTCAAAGTCCAAAGGTGCTATTTCACATTCAGAACTGGAAATGTGCCCTGAAAAGTGCTGGCTTGGATTTCATCCCTTGACTTGCGTACAGTACTTTAGAAATATAACAACAATACATTTCATATTCTACTCCTTGCAATGTGACCGAAAGCACAGCAGTCATTTCAAAATGGTCTTGCTTTTGAAGTAGCTGAAAGCCCTTGTTAATACAGACCCCATGGATTAACAGCAGAGAACTCAACCAAATTGCCACAACAGAGTGTGCAGCTGTAAGATTTCGATAATTCTAATTTCCTGGATTCAGACACAAAGACCTCCCTATTTTGTGAGCTTATAAATAAAATCCTTAGCTGCGTTTCAAAGCTGAAATCAAGAGGCTTCTTAAAATTGTAATTTCCGAAATATTTTTTTCCACAAATTTGACTTATTTGGTAACCTCACAACCACATATGGCATATATCAGTCACAGATCTGTTCCAACTTCAGCTCCACCTTGTTTTATGCAGATTTTAAAAAATCCACATTTTAATGTAAAATATCAAAATAAAATATACATTTCTCAATGTATTCATCTGTAAAATATGCATGTTTGTGCATATTTTGTTCATCAAAACTGCATCATAAAATCCAGAGCATAATCTGATTACAAATTGTGTGTCCCAACCAGCAAGCAAGTTTGGGAATGGCAAATCTGATTGGCCCACTCTAAAAAACAGACCACACAAATTCCACCACCATTCCACTGCATTTTATCTTTACAAATGTAAAATGAACACACACACACACACACACACACACACACACCCCATTAAAATGACTCAAAAAGAAACAGCTG